CAATAGTATAAAATCAGTTTGTCTTATTCCACAAAAGTCTGTCAACTGGTGTATTTATAATCTTAACTCATTAACAATGAATCTATTGCTATATATAATCCATACAAGTTGTGACTGGTTGAACCATGAAATATGTTGTTCAACCAGGAAGGAGTGTGGATTGGTATTTTAGCAATCCCACTTTTTTTCCTCAGATCTAAGGTCTGTTTCATCTTTGATAAAATGTTCTATGCACCACTGCTTCTCATTAGCAGACCTTGGAAGAATTCCTGCTCCTACTGACTATTTTATCTCTCCATCTCTGCTCTTGTTAATCCTGTTCCTGGGATGTCGTGAAAGGTGCTGTATAAATCCAATTTGTGATTGTTACCCAGGCCCTAATGGGTAGAGTGGTTCTGGCTGGACAAGCAGTGGAAGCTCACTAGACAGTATTCTCACTTCCAAGCGATGAAGTTTTAAATGGTTAAATTCAGTAGTACTCCCAGCACACCCTTGGAGGTTTGCCTCTGGCCAACCTATGTGTAATGCTCTCTGAAATTAAGTAAGCAGGATGCATTCCTCCAGAGAAAGAGTGACAGTTTTAAAAATCCATGTGAAGGTGGCATGCATATGTACAACTCTGTCCTGTTTAGATAGTTTTTCCTCGTGTGTAAGGAAATAATAAATTGCCTTGTATTTTTTGAGCCAATTGTGTGTATCTTTTAATTTGATCGTATGCAAAATATGAAAATGGAATTTTGATTGGCTGAATGTTGTGTCTTCAAACTTGATTAAGGTCAGGCCCCATTGTGAGTAGTCTCATTGGACTCTTAACGTGACCATTTCCAGCCATTGGCTCTTTTTACTGTTCAGCTTCAAACCATGATCACTGCTTGAATCACCACTGTCAGTTCTAATACCTTCAGGCATTGTAAAGATTGAGTTGAAGAGTTCACTTAGACTTTTGGCATCACATCATGATAAAATAGCACGTGACAAATAGAAGCAGTAGTAGTGGATGACATTGTTTTTATTTATTACTCTTGGTTGTTGTACCTAGAACAAGTGTTTGTTTATATTTTTTATATGCTGGATTTACTGGCAGACCCGAAAGCTGCATAGATTGTAAATCCAAATATGCCAATTATAATGGCATAAAATGTATTCAGTGCAGTCACATCTACAGTCTTAATACTGTATTTCCAATTTTTTTCTTTGGGCTTTTGGCTTCAAAAGTACTGCATACATACTCTAATCTTAAATCTTAATACATTGGTAATATTGTTACGCAAAGCATTGCATTTCTTGATTCACTACCGATTTACTAAGCACCTGCAATAGTTAGTGCAGTATCGCTTGTATTCTACTTGTGATGCAGAACATAAGAAATTGAGCTTTAAACTTGTTTGTGTGTGTAACCTTGTCATTCTCTGTATTTAATAGATCATTACCATTATTGAAATTCTCTTTCACCAGCACAGTTTGCTTTGCTTATCTTTGGTGGTTTATTCCATGACTTGATTTAGAATTTATGTTCTGATGAGTGATTTTTGACAAGTACCAGTGCTGGCTTTCTGACAGCTATCTATTTCCATTCTCTTGCCTTTTCCCCCATACCTTTTATGTTTCTCCTTTTCAGATATTTATCTAATTCCCTCCTAAAAGCCAATATGAATTCTGCCTCAACCATGGTTTCAGGTAGGGTATTCATGTCCTAACAGCTGGGCTGTAAAATAAGTTTCTACAGTAATTACATTAAATTTTTGCCTTCTAGTTACTGACTTACTGACATAATACTGAAATAATTTCTCCCAGTTTACATAATCTTTCCTTATAAATGGAAACTTCCATCTCTGGTTTAATTCTCGTGAATTTCCTCTGCATTCTTAATGGCCTTGTCATCCTTCCTGTTGTGAGGTGCTGAAAATGGCGCACAAAACTCCCAATTGTGTCTTAACTAATGATTTATACAGATTCAGCTTTGGTTGATTATATGCCCTTATTTATGAAACCTAGGATTTCATTAGCGTGGTTACAGGTTTATCAACTTTCTTTCCCGCCTTTAAAGATTTTGTTCAAAGATTATTAACCTCTAGGTGTCTCTGCTCTTCCACCACTTTTAACATTTCACCATTTAAAGCCTGTGATGGTAAATGTATATTCATGTTTTCCTTCAAGTCCCGCCTCAAAACCCTCCTCTTTGACCATGCCATTGGCCACTTCCCCTCCCCTCCCTTCCCCCCCCGACCTCAGCTCGAGTCTGAAATGTTGTACACTGTCCAGCACCTTGGGACATCCTCCCGACTTGAAAGGCGCTATACAAATGTAATCTTGTTGTTGTTAATGTTTAGCAGTACGTTTAGTTCAACAGGTTCCCTTTTAATTGTATATGTCTTTAAAACAAACACTGGTGACTAGCAGAATTGGAGAGTAGAGATCAATGATTTAGGGCTCGGTACCTGGATTTTCTACTTGAGTTTCATTCAAGGTTTGCATTTCAGGACTTTTTGTTGGGGGCGGTGGGGAGGCATGTCCTTTATCTGGAACAAAAAGGAGTGGGTAAACTAGCAAGCGATTGAATTACATTGGTCAGGGTTGAAGATATATTGATCAGATTGACTAAAAAAAGGATGAAATGCATAAAATTCTAGTGAACTACAGCAACATTATTACATTTTTCACTTGGAAAGAAAATATTGCTGTAAATAGCCCAATTGACATAAAGAATTGGTAGAGAAATAGGTTAAGGCTCTTTGAGACACTTTCCTGCCTGAAGGGTGCTATGTGAATGCAAACTGTTGTTAATGCATACTAGAATCCTCAAGGATTTGAGAGAGGGAACCAATGAGGCTAAGCTTAATATTTTCAATAGCTAAAATAAATACTTGAGTAATGAATATATAATGTATATTTATTGAGAACCTGTAAATTAAATGAACAGGAAGTAGTTAGTGACAAATTCCTGCACAGATGCAGTATGCAGAAAGTGACTTCGGCAGGTAATAATAATCCTTGTACTTTTATCATGTCGTTGAGACGTATCAAAGCACTTCGCAGGATAGTGTAAAGTGGATTGAGTGTATATTGTGGGCCAAACATGTTGCACACAGCAATGTTTCACAAACAGCCATGGAGTGAGTGACAAAAACAACAAATTACATTTGTATAGTGCCTTTCACGTCAGCCGCATGTCCCGACCAATTGAATTTGAAAGATTGTTGGTTGGACACCAGGAGAGACGGGGCCTTGCTTTAACGTCTCAACCAAGCATAGTCTCTGAATCTGGAAGTTGACAATGATGCAGGGATGCTGTTGGCATGTTTTTGATATTTTGGGAAGAAAATTGGGGTCCACAAGCCCAATTGTGTAATAAACAAAGTTGGGTTATAGCGAAGCACATTATAACAGGGTTGTCCTCTAAATATATTAACTGTGAGCACTGCTGGAGGGTATAAGGTAAAATATAGACTGAGACGCATTAATATTCTTAAGGGGCACATGTTGCTGTGATATGGTGGGAGGAGGTGACCATAGAGAGGGGCTCCATGGAGGGAAATACACATGTTGAAAAGTGGAGATGTTGTGATGGGCAAATAGTCTGGAGATTTGATTAGTTACATTTGCGGAGGATCAGAGAAGCATTTCACCCACAAAGTAGTCAATTCACTTTACAGAATATTCTGTGAAGCGCTACGAGATGTCTTGAAGACATAAGACGCTATATCAAATGCAAAGATATATATATATTTTGGTAGAACTGTTCTGTGACTTTATCTGAGGTGCAGTCCATGATGGGAGAGGTTTTGCAAAGTCTATGAAAGAAGTGGCAAAGGGCCTTTTTTTATGTACTTTTGTGTAATAATATTTTTTGTTTAAGAAGACAACCACAGCTGAAATTGTTTTTTTAAAAAAACTGTTTTTCTTTAAAGTATACATGGAAAATGTAGCACCTGTATTAAGCCGATCCCCTTAAGAATAATTCTTAAGTCCCTAATTGAATTAAGTATATCATAATGGTATCATCACCCACCTTTGTGGAAATCTAAGCTTTTATCTTGCTTTGTTTAGCTAATTGCAGTCAGTGCAGTGTGACTCGCAGATAGTATAACCTAGTGTTTCTAGTAATAGAGGTGGTTGCCATCTCTGTTGTCTGTATGCCAAAACTTAAATCAGCTTTGAAAGAATTGAAGTCCACCCTTCCTGTTTCGAGAAACTTTCTGTTTCATTCTTTTTTTCACTATTTGGGCACACACAGACTGCATTATAAAGAGGATCCATCCGTTCTGTGTTATTACTTATAATTACAAACCATATTTTTTGTTAAATTGTTAACGTGTATTTCATTTTAGGGAATATTTTTATATGAAAACAATGTGTAATCAGCAAAAGGAGGCCTGGTGCCGTCTTGTTCCTCAAACGTTAAGTGATAGCTGCAATTCTGCTGCCATTCAACAATGTAAACAATAACAACTTGCACTTATGTGGTGCCCTTCATGCTAGTAGTGTCTCAGAATGCTTATTACATTGTGTTAACACAGAAATCATTTTCTGTGCTTACACCATGTTTTCATATGCTTTGCATTGCTTTTGGCTGGATAAACAGGTAGGTGGTAGGGAGAGCCATGCCTATTGCAGTTTGTCATATTGCTGGCTAAGTTGAACACAGGAAATGAGTTATTACCCTACATAACAACTTCCTTTCCTCCCCTCCTCTGGATATTGACAAGTCTCATTCTGAAGTTCCAAATCTAGTGGCCGTTTTTCACACATGGTAAGCTGTTTTATATCAAAGGTTGTTCAACTAAAGAGGACATGATCGCAAAGCCTGTCTTTAACCCAACTCCAAACGTGTGCTTTCCAGCAGGCTTACTAGAATTATCAGAAGTACCTTTCTAGTGTGTGTGGTTCAATATCACAACTCATTTGTTCAGTTTACCAAGAGAAAGAAACATTAGGAGGAAACCCAGAAAATGTTTCACTTTAGTGTTGTTCTAATCAGGTGCTTTATTCACTGCTTCTAGGAACATCATCTTCAGAGGGCCATTTCAGCACAGCAGGTCTTCAGAGAGAAGAGGGAGAATATGGTTATTCCAGTGCCTGAGGCAGAAAGCAATGTCTCTTACTATGATCGTCTATACAGAGGAGAGTTTAAGGTTCCCAAGCAACTCATTCACATTCAACGTAAGCTAATCACCACCTTGTTATTCTGTGACTGAGTTTGAGATTTAAATCGTGCCCTTTTTGCTTTTGTTGGGATTTCTTAGGATTCATTTCCAATGTGAGCAAAATAATTTTGTCCTGTATTCAGAAATAGTTAAATGTATTCTATACAAGACAAAAAAATCTTAATTCTGTTTCAACAGCGTTTAATTTGGATAGTGAACAGCCAGACTATGACATGGACTCTGAAGATGAGATATTATTCAATCGACTGAATAGAAAAATGGAGGTCAAACCTTTACAGTTTGAAGAGATGATTGACCGGCTGGAGAAGGCTAGCGGAAATCAGGTACCGTGTTGTTTCTGTAGCATGTTAAACCAACAGTGCCTTGAACAAAGATTTATTCGGGATCTTTTGTGCCATACATCATTCTGATGGATGAATATTTTGGAGAATTAATGATCCCTTAAAAAAAATTAACAATTTGGGCACTCAATGCACAACTGTTTGTGGGAGAATGTTGTGTGCAATTGGCTGCCTTGTTTCGCCCACTAAAAAGACAGTCACTTCACTTTACCATATATTCTGTTACACACTTTGAGATGTCAAGAGATGAGCGCTATATCAAATGCAAAAATTATTGCATTTTCAAGAGATCTTAAGAGTGACTTGGCTGATTTGGCTCAATTGATGTTGTCTTCGTCTCCATTGAGCTGTTGTTATTTTTAGTCTGTATACTTAAATGCCTTGCTGCAAAGCTATACCTGGAACTTTAAAATGTTTCTAATTTCTCGCAAGTTGTCAGCAGGTCAACAGAAAATCCTCTCTCTTCATGGGATAATTAGCCAGCTCTTGCTTAAATTAATTGTAAAGCTACTTAAAGATCTTGATGGCTTTGTTCCTGTCTGTGTACATTGTTATCACAATAGAAGTACTGCAGCTTATTTCAGACATCTGTGGACGTTTGACCACTCATGTAAAGGTTTTGAATGCTTGCACTTTCACTTTGTGTGTACGTGCACACAAAATCATTTTGCAAAACAAGTGACTGGGATTTGACCATAAACAGTGACATCCAATTATTTTCAAACATTATTTCATAAAATGATCACTAAATAGTTTGGAAGCAGCGTTAAGCAATCGGATAAATAATGATTATAGGTATACATGACCTCTGCTTGCGGGATCGAATGCCAAGAAAATTAATTCTTGATTACAAGGATTAAAGATTACATGCTTCTAGTTTCCCACCTGTGAAATCGGGTTTCCCACCTGTGAAATCGGGTTTCCCACCTGTGAAATCGGGTTTCCCACCTGTGAAATCGGGTTTCCCACCTGTGAAATCGGGTTTCCCACCTGTGAAATCGGGTTAATGCTGGTCACGAAATTGATGATCGTGTGTCTGGGCCTTAAAATTCTCATTACTTCCATAGTCTATTGCACTCCTCTCCCCCTTCCTTTTGTGGCCCTTGATGTCTTGTCGCCTCATTTCAGGTTTTGGCTGAAGGGATGAACAGAGAAGGCTGTACCTTCACATGTTTTGTGCTGCTGTTCTCAGCTGCCTAGATATTAGATATTGTTCTTTCTTACCGTCAGTGACTGAAAGGGATTTTTTTTAATGAAAATACCTAACTGTAAAATACAGCACATGAGAAAATGTCTTGTCCGGTCCAGGAGTGAGGATTTAGTGTAAACTGATAATTCTAGGAACTGGATGGCAATATAGTAGAATTTTGTTTTGTCGGGCTATATAAATTGCTTCTCTTGAGTGGCTGCAGTGCGAGAAGAATTTAGCTAGTCTCAAGCCAGTTCCTAGTGTTCACAATCTAAACACTGCCCATAGCAAAATGTACTTTATCCTGAAGTCTAGCCCATGCTATACTTGACCTGTTGACACAGGATGCTAAACAGGGGGAAAACTTCCAATGCTGATTCCTTTTACATTGACAAACAAATAAATAGCCTGAATCAAAACATTTATATGTGCATTTTATAATTTTGTTGTTCAGCTGGTGTCTATTCAAGAGGCCAAATTGTTGCTGAAGGAAGATGACTACTTGATCAAGGCTGTGTTTGATTACTGGGTGAGGAAACGAAAAAACTGCAGGGGACCCTCCCTTATTCCATTGGTCAAACAGGAAAAAAGAGATGGTTCCACAAACAATGACCCATATGTTGCTTTTCGAAGGCGAACTGAGAAGATGCAGACAAGAAAGGTGAGGGAGCCTGTGCTTGTTTTTCAAATCTATTTCTGTTTTATTGTGTGTATTTTTTTTCTTTCTGGCTGCCATTCTCATTTGACAATTTCCTCTTCTCTGCTTAACATGCTTAGACTGCTTTTTCTTTCTCCTTGAATATAGTTTCACAGATGTTGTGTACTTTTTTTGATTCTTTACTCAAATTGACCGTTAGTCCTGTGTGAGTGTTGCAGGCTGTTTGTTTGGAGGAGGGAGAACACTGAACGTTTTTTTTCCCCCAACTATTATTTTAACATAGCCAAAAATCTTAATTCATATTTTTTAAAAATGTAGGGTTCCTCGATGATAGATAATCCATCACTGCTGTTTCGTTCATGAGCATCCAGCTCATTGTACAGTTCCTCATGATTGAATAGGCTAATAATTAACATTGCAGTACATGAAGAGTGTCCCTTGAATACCGTATCAAAGATACTGCTGGCATTCGTGGAATGGTACTGCACCTTGTCTTCAAAGAGGGGGAAAAAAGAAATAACTAGAGCATTCAATTATAGATAGTTTTTTATGGTAGTGTGAGTGGATCATTGTCTCAATACGCATGTTATTTTGGTCAGCCAGGCATTTTAGAGTTTGTCGTGCTTTTGTAAAAAAAAACACCTATTTTTTTGTTTTTAAACAGAATCGTAAAAACGACGAGGCTTCATATGAGAAAATGTTGAAACTCCGACGAGAGTTTAGCCGGGCAGTCACCATTCTGGAAATGATTAAAAGGAGGGAAAAGACCAAAAGGGAGCTGCTTCATCTAACGTTGGAAGTGGTTGAGAAGAGGTATGTTTTTAGCTTTTCTTGTTCTGAATGATTACAATATCTTATCAACTAATTTGAGTGGTGACTTGATATTTCAAATGCTAGAATGGTGCACTGGTAATATCTGTAAAAGCTGGTTTTAAAAAAAAAAATTACTGTTTCACAAATAGGTACCACACTGGTGACTTTGGTGGAGAAATTATGACTGAGCTGAAGACTCCGAAACAAGAAAAGGTGGCCAACAGCACTCCAGTGTCTCTTCACAATGGCAACCATTACAAAGCTCAAGAAAGCAAAACGGTTAAGGTAACAGAAATTGGCGTTTTCAAAATTCCGCTTACACATTGATAACAGTTCATACAGCAGCCTTCACGTAAGATAATATCCCTGAGCACCTTCAGATGAGATTCACGTACTGGAAATACTGGAGCAGTCTAAAGTTTGAGTATTGTTATATTTTTAAAATAAAATTTTGGTTTTTGTTTGGTTTACTTTCAAAGTTCATCTTTCAGCCTTGCTGCCATCACAGACCTCATTTGACCCTCTAGAATGCTGGTTTATCCTGAATCAATCTTTACTTGGTCCCCAAACAGCTGAACATGAGCCCCAAACATTGAACACAGCAGCCAATTTGCATGTAACAATTTCCCCCAAACCAATTTAATTTTGGGGAATTGTTGGCGAGGACCTTAACTCAGTGTTTTATTAAGAGCTGCTTGAAAATTGGAATGCAGCCCCAGACCTGAATGAATTATTTTTGATATCCTTTGTTTACCTTGAAGCATCAACAGCCACATTCGGTGTCGTTCAAAGAAGAAGTTCCTGATGCTGTTCGACCAAAGAAGAAATACGTGAAGAAGAAGCATAAAACTCCCGAGTGTATTGTTTTACACCACCAGCCCAGTACAGAACCACAACCCCCTGTGAAGAAGGATATTAAGCAGTACGACTTTCTCAGTTCTGATGAAGAGTCCTACACCCAGGTATTTTGGGTTCTTGCCTTTTCATTAGTCAAGGAAACTGGATAGTTGAAGAACAAATAACACTTTGGGAAGAAAGCCAGAATTTATAATTGAACTGTTGATGGCAAGATTACTTTAGTTTGTGGTTCTCTTTTAAGGAAAAGTAAATGTTTAGTAGACAAATGAGTGGACTTGGTTTCAATTTACTTGTGCTTTTTCTCTGTATTTATGCTGTTATGATTACAGCTCATACATGAAATTGTATGGACCAGCTGTGTCAGGTCAATCATTAATATCTTTATTTCTATAATGTATGTTTTGGCACCAGTATTTGAGCTGAAAATGTCCTGAATTGCTCATTTAGCATTTAGACACTGAAGTCTCCAAAGACCCGACAGTCCAAATGAATAGCTACCAAAAAAAAGTGAATGATGGGCATGATTTGAACAGGAAAGTCACAGTGAGGGAATTTTTCCAGCATCTGTGATAATTATATTCTTTTAAAAAATGGTTTTGTTATTCATTGTTGGTAGTTTACACTTGTATAGTGTTTTTCACATTGAGAGAACTTCTCTAAGCGCTTTACAGAAACTGAGCGAGAACTTGCAATAATGGAAGGTCAGATTACTTGACAAATGGAGAAAAAATTGTTGTGACCTCTCTAGATGGGAAATGATTGACAGTTTTGTTACAGGAAACTAGGGCAGCAAATTTTAATTGAATCTGATATTCACTAAACAATTTTGCTTTGCGTTAGGTCCCCTCTCCTGTATCAGAGCCTGAGGAAGACAGCGACCCTGACGGGCCTTTTGCTTTCAGGAGGAAAGTGGGATGTCAATACTATGCTGTAAGTACTCACGCACACATACATTTACTGTATAACTTATTGTCACATCAGCAGCGCTTTGCAAAGAGTATTTGTAGAAAGCACTTTTTAAAATTTCTATTATTTAGCTTGAATTGTTTATCTTGTAACTTCCTTTTTACGACTTCACATATCTGCTTTAGCGTGGATACTAAGCATGTTTTGTTTTAGATGTTGCTTTTGTAGAATTTATTCAAAACATTCTGGCTGTTCATTGGGGGGAAAACAGCAAGAGGAGGGCTGATTTAAAATGCTGAGCAGCTGTCATCAATGCAAGATCAAAAATGCAGTTTAGAACAAAGTCTTATATAAAACCTTTCATTGATGACAGCAGTCCTAATTTGAAAGATCTTTCATTTCTCTGAGGAATATTGGTATCAAGGGCTGTTTCAGTATATCTGTGTTGTATTGTTCTCATTATCCCGAAGCTTTCCATCTGCTGACTAGTCAAAGAACTGAGCTGTATTGTTAACATACAATGAAGTACGGAAATTCACTTAGTCAAAGTGGTAACATGTTTATGAAAGTTTCTAAAAACGCGCGTTTCATTGTTTTCCCCTCTTCTCCCCAAATCGGCACCCAATTCCTGTTTGAAATGAGAGAATGTGGAAAACCAAACTGGGAAGATATCTTAATTTCATTCTAATTGCTTCAACAAAATGGTTTGATGAATCGTGTGTTGCAAGTCTTTATGTTCTAAACCACTCGGGAATGTAAAATATATAGATTGTTATTGTTTATTCTGTTGCAGCCTCACATGGACCAAACAAGTACATGTCCGTGGCGGATTCCTGAGCCAGCAGGGTTAAGTGAGGCCAGGTACAGGTACTGCTTAACCACGCTCACCGTTCCAAGAAGGTGCATTGGATTTGCAAGGAGACGCGTGGGCCGTGGAGGAAGGTACGTTAATTTTCCAAGCTATCAAGTTCAGTTTGGAAACCTCTACAATTATTTTTGTAATGAAATCTGCTGGTCTCATTAATGAGGAATTATTATTCCTGGCACAAAGTTTCTTGACAAGAGTATTAGGCTATAAAGGTTGAAGCTTCTGAATATACTGGGAAAGTTTTACTCTTTACAAATTTTTCTTTCATACGATGGTTTCAATTTGTGGAATTAAGGTTGTCTGGGCAATATTAATTATTCAATAACATCAAAATATTAACTTTTTAGACACTTGTGTTCGGAGAATTTTTAAAGAATTATAAATAAACTGAGCCTTCTCTTTCTTCTTCAGGGTTTTGTTAGATCGTGCATTCACAGCTTATGATCATATTCTACATCAAGTTGATCCGGAAATCCTGTCATCTCCTCCAGCCTCCCCAGCTGCATTCTCTTCTGACAACTCACGGACCACATCTTCCAATAAAGACTTTACCAATAGACTGTCACTTGGTGAAATACTAAGCAATATCAAAGCGTGCCGGTTACGGCACTTTCAGCCACGGTTGCCCCCGTTTCAGGACAGTGACGATGATCACTGTACTTCCAAAAAATTAGGACAGAATGTGAATAAAGGGAGAATCCCTATGTCTTCTATTTTAGCATCAAGTACCATGATCACCAGCAGGAATAGGATATCTGGTGAGTAATGTAACTTGGAACTGAATTTAATAGTAGTTAAAACTCAACTTTAATACGCATGACATAACTTAACGAAGTGCAGACTTGCTCCTGTTCTCTGTTTGCCATAATCTAAGGTTATGGAGGGTTGTATCAAAATGAACTGGGATTTTACAATGTGTTGTGTTTGCATTACTGTGTATAAAAGCTACAGTGTCTTAATTTTGGTAAGTTAGCATTCACCTCATGGCAGTTTGTGGGATCTTATTGGTGCAAATGGTTGGCGAGTTTGCCAACAAAAATAATTGTCGCAATGTTTGGTTGTGAAATTACTTGTGAAGCACTTTGAGATGTTTTGGCGTGATGATGAGGTGCTACAAAAATGCACTTTCCAGTTCTGGTTCCATATTCCATTAAACCAATGAGTAAAATTCCAATACCGCTTGTCAATTTACATAATTAGATCATGGGTTCCTGCAGTTCTTCACTCTGTAATTACACTTGTCTCCCCTCCCCGCCCCCTGAAACAGGAAATAGTGAAAAGTCCGTTTTTTTTTATGTGTACAGAATAACAAGTCAAGTTTGTTCCTAGGAGTTGACGCATCTCGGCTGGATTTATGTTGCTCTAGCTTTGTTCTTGAGGTTTATGATGTCCCTTGAACTTCTTAAATGTTTTGCTCCTTTGGAACTCATTAAATACTCTGTTATCCTTATAGCTGCATTAACAGTTTTTTTTTAAAACAAGAAAAATATTTTGTCTTTGGGTGAAAAAAAATAACCTGGGGCAGACGATACGTGACACAGGAAAGAGAAGGCGCAGCTCACATAAAACGAACACTAAAATGCGATAAAAGAGATTTTATATGGCTTGCTGCTTACCAACTCTAGTGATGCTTTCATTCTGTGTTTGTAATGGGATTTCCCATCATAAACCGTGCTTGTGATGGACATATGATGTATAAGACTGTTCCAGTGTTTCTGTGTTGCATAATGACTGGGCCATTCTATCGTATTTGGAAGTCAATATGGTAGGTAATCTTGTTAATACAGTCAAAAGTCTTTTTGTTGGTTTGAATCCTCTTTCTCTAGTCTGTCGTACAGTTATTTGGTTGGTTGGAGTTTTTTGGGGGGGGAATGGGGAGATATTTTGAAATGGTTTGCACAATTTATCTTCAGTCTATCAAATAAAGATACTTTTTACAGTTAGTAAACAGTATTGAAAGAGTAATGTAGCTGCTCAGCCAGAACTGTTAGATACTGATATAAATGCTTGCATTTTCAAAACGAAATAAAAAATGCCCAGAAATACACAACAGATCTAATAGTATTTGAAGAAGAAAAGGGAAGCTAAGTTAATGATGTGTCTCTTAATCAGAACTTTTGCACAATGGTGCCACTTGTTTGGCGCTGTCAGCTGGTCAGCGTGCTTCAAAGGACAGAGTTCTGACGAATAGATAGCACTAATGTTATTGATTTTGAATCAATACCAGTGAAAGTGCTTTGCCCCCTACCTGTTAATAGACTGTTATTTCTCTGTGCGTTGCCTGGAACTTGCTCAGATAGCTTTCAGAATAAATCACCTGGCATTCTTTCACTGTGTGATCTCTCTTACAGCGTTCCAAGATTAATGGGGAAGCCCATTTCTGACAGGCAAAGCCAAATGCAGGGACAAAAATAGCCAACTTTGTGTTGACTTACAGGGTCTTGTGCTGCTGTATTGTTTCTTATATCTGGCTTTAAAATGGGTTCTGGTTCTGAGAATATCAGCCCAGCGACTAGTTGAAGTAATCACTGTTTTGGGAACTTGAGTCAGCGATGCAAGAGTGCTTGCTGGAGGATAAAAGTGCATTGGGAAACAAAAAGGGAAGCAACGCAAAATGGTACAAAGCAGCAGCAAAGGTAAAAAGATCATACTAATAAAGTGATAGAAAGAGGAAAGAAAAGCTTGCACTAAGAAACCAGAAGAACGAAAACTAAAATCAAGCGAGAGATCAAAGTAAGTTATAAATGTTAGATTCTGAGAAGTATTTTATGCCTATTTTCCTATGGTGCCGCTTTGCTTTTTTCTGTGTGTCATACACATTGATTGGTTCATGTTTTCTTGGTGTGTTTTTTTTATCTCTGAAAAATCGTGCCAGAAATACAAAGGCGAGGGAAAAACTGGTATAAAGAGAAATCTTGTTTTAAGTTAATTTCTGAGTTTCATCAAAGCAGGGTTACTTTACAAAAATGTTAAAGCTTAGGGAAAAATTTACTAAAGCAAATTGTTAGCTGTATGTGTTCTTGGATGGATTACGTTTTTTAATTTTTTTATTTGGTGTTCCATGGATAATATTGGACCATCCCATAAAGGTTCTTGTCTTTATACTGACAGGTGGGATAACAGAAGAACAATACCAGACCCACCAACAACAGCTTGTCCAGATGCAGAGACAACAGTTGGCACAGATGCAACGGCAGCAGTCCCAGCATTCCTCAAGCATCTCACTTGGAAATTCACAGGTAACGCGGGTTTAACTATCTTTTGCTTATCCCAAAAACCTGCTCTAAATGTACAGCATTAAAAATATCCAGAGATGAATTGGTGGAGGTGGGGTTGACATTCTGCTTCAGGATCACCCATTCTTGTGTCACAGTGGAGCCCTCCATCTCAGTGGTCGGAGCACTCGCCTTGCAAGCAAGAGAACTGGGTTTGATTCCCGGCAGGGCGAAATGTTGGGCAAGTTTCCTTACTCCACACACCTGTTTACCTAGCAGGAAGTAGGAACCTGGTTGTTAGTCAATTGGAGGATCGCTTTCCGGCGGGTAATAATTCCTTCAAAAAAAATTGGTCTCTTCAATCCACGACTGTTTGGGACACTGCTGTGAGCAATTGGCAGCCGCGTTTCGCCCACAAAATATACATTCAATTCAGTTTACAGTATATTCTGTGAAGCGCTTTGAGACATCTCGAAGACATGATAAGGCGCTATATCAAATACCAGTATTATTATAGTAGATGTAACACAAGCAAACTTTTCATTCTACACTTTGAATAGGAAATTACATAAACTTCCAGCAAAGCAATCACTCGGTTTTGAATACTGCAAGTCAGGTCTCGCTGAAGAAAGTCCTTGAGTAGTGTGCTTTGAACCTATAAGCACTTAAAACTTTAACAATACCACAGGCAGTTTATGTAGGTTGTACAAGATCTTTTATTGAGCTTTGTAAACGTTAGTTTCTAGCCAAAAACAACTGGGGGTTTTGATTTAAATGTAATTTATAGTGTTTGCTGTTCTTTAGTCTGAAATATAAAAATATCTTTGAAGCTCTGTCATTCTGAATGGTAAGCTTTGATTATGACCAGAACTCTGCCGCCCGCATACTTACCCAGACCAAACTCCGTACCCACATCTCACCAGTTCTGGCCAGGCTGCACTTCCCCATCACCGAACAGATCGACTTCAGGATCCTCACGCTTGTGTTCAAATACCTTCACTGTCTGCTACCTCTCCGACCTTCTAATTCCCAAATCCACTACCGGGAGCCTCCGCTCGACTGGCCCCGGCCTCCCGCTCGTCCCCACGCCCTCTACTCCACCACCGGAGATCGCGCTTTCAGCCACTACGCCCTGAAACTCTGGAACACTCTCCCTCAATCCCTCCGCCTTGCCCCCTCTCCTTTTTCAAGTCCCGCCTGAAAGTCTTCCTCTGCGACCGTGCTTACGGCCACCTCTTCTTCCCCCCCCCCACACACATACACAGGCTCAGTCAGGCTCCGCCACTGTTAAGCGCTCTGAGACGCAACCCTGGAGAGTGCCATATAAGTGCAAGTTGTTGTAATGTGGTGCATAACCAATAGCACATATAGAAAAGGGAGAATGGTGAGTTGGAAGAGTTGGGACATCAAATATTTCTTTCTTTTCAGGGATCAAGCATATCCAATTCTTCAAAGCCGCTAGATTCAGCTAGTGCCCTGTTTGCAGCATCAGCTGTTGTTAGTGGCCCTGGACCAGGTCAAGCGGAGGTTTCTAAGGATGGTTCAGGTCACACCACAACTATGAATGGTGTTGTCCAGTCTGCAGGTGAGGGTTTAGTGTTATTGACTTGACTGTATAAAACCATTTCTGAGTACAAAATTCTGAGATTAAATAATTCTAATAATCATAATCCTTACATTTGATATAGAGCCTTTCATATTAGGAAAAAGTCTCAAGTAGTTTCACATGATTTATTGTAAGGCGTTGTGTATTTTGTAGGTGAATGAAGCAGCCAATTGCACAATGCAATGTCGCACAAACAGCCATGAAGTGAATGTTAAATTTTATTTGGGGGAATGTTGCCCAGGACATTGGGAGAAACGTCTTCCTCATACTGATTGAGGCAAATGGAGTTTTCACTTGAACTAACTAAGCCTAATTATCTGTTGGAAATAACGTCCTGCCTCATCCAATGGTGTAATTTAGGTTTAGTTCACCCTTTATAGAAGTGCTGCTTGATAAAAGAAGTTTTTGCATAGCTGTGGGCACAGATGAAATCTTCTTTCAGTGTCTTGGGAAACATCAGTGGAGATGTTGTACTGTTATGGAAGGATTTGATTTCCCATGTTGATCATTTCAGTTTCATTTGTTATCGGTTCAGTTTTTTTTGTGCAACCTGAAGTAGCACTGACTTTGGTTCCATTGTGAAGATATGGTATCTATCATTTTTACCTTTAATAAAAAAAATCCTCCTGGGAAGATTGCAGACATTGTTTTTGTGAGCCTGACTCTTAAGCTTCCCAGGTATGAAATACAATTTTAAAATTGTTCTTGGAGATTTGACTTCTACCAGGTATTGGGATGTTCAGAGGCATTACCTCACTCTTGTACTCTGCAATGATGTGTGACCTGCATTGAATGCTGAGTTTAACATTTAAGTAAATAAAAGTGTTATTTGCTTTGTCCCTCTGGACAGTGATTCATTACAATTTTTGTCAACATTGTGGTCTTCCGGAGAACAGCACAACAGCTTTGATAATCTGAAAAGCAACAATAACTTGCATGTATATAGCACCTTCATATGGGGCAGATCGCTTAAAGCAGAGCTAAAGTGGAGTAATGAGTATAAATAAACATCTTAGGTAATGAGTTGCATTTTCCAAATGATCCTATAAAAAGAAAAGCAAATTATTTTTGTGAGCCTTTTATTAATTTGCCTGCGTACCATGAGACTGAAATGCCTCTAGGACTATTCACCGTGAGTTATACCTAAAATGTCCAACTTGTACTTGGTTTAAAATCAGTGGGGAAACGGAGTCCAATTCGAATGACTTTCTGACTGATGAGTCTTAAGGTTGAACACTGCAAGAATGAATAGTAATGATGTTGAATTGATGAAGCTGTCATTTCAATACCTCAAGTAAAAAAAGGGTCTGCGATTGTTAATGAACTGCTCAGTGTGGCCAATACAATGATAGAGCTGTCGTTCTAGTAACTGGAAAACCTGGGTCTGAATTCAAGCTCTGTTTGATCTTTATAATTGGACTTTGACTAAATGGTGACTTGTGAATTTTTGCCAAGTCTTCATATCTAGCACCAAGATATGAAGCCAACAACCAGAGGTGATTAGTTAACCATCTTTCTTTCAGCACCACCTCAGGGTAACACTTGCTGATAACTTAATTAAGTGAAATGTTTCTTTAATAATAATCCTTGCATTTTGATATAGTGTGTTATTACATCGTCAAGACTTCTCAAAAGTGCTTCACGGGATGTACTGTAAAGTGGATTGATTGTGTATTTTGTGTGTGAAAACGCAGCATCCAGTTGCGTACAGCAGAGTCCCACAAACAGCCGTGGAGTGTTTCAGCTGGGCAGATTCCAGGCGACATTGTAAAATACGAAATGTACTGTATTAATATAAGGCTTATTTTTTTTAAATCTGAATGTGATTTTAGGATCGAAAATACCTCTTTAGAAAATTCTAGTTCAAGATGGGTTTGAACTTGCACGACACGATAATGCTACATTTCTGCCACAGGAGGCTGTCTGCGTGTATTAATAATATACCTCCCCCTAGTGGCAAAACAACCTAAAGCAGCACTTTAGTTTATTGCAGAGTTGGGACAACCTTAAAATCTTAAGGCCCTGAATGCTGACATTTGAACCCTTTTGTTTATTAAAAGTATTGTGTTTCAAATTCGGATTCAGATTTTGGAAAATGTTCGATGAATGAGCCAGCGGTAAAATTCTACAACAACTTGCATTTACATAGCGCCTTTAACACAGGGTAGCATCTCGGAGTGGCGGAGCCTGATGCCAAACCGGGGGGAGGAAGGTCTTCAGGAGTGGTCTGAAAATGGGAAAGGAGGGGTGCAAGGCAGAGGGACTGGGGGAGAGAGTTCCAAAGTTTCAGACCCAGGTTATAGTGGCTGAAAGCACGGCTACCAACTGTAGAGTGGGGAGGATGAGGGACAAGTGGGAGTGAAAATAGATTACTGTTGATGTGAGGAATTTAGCCCATATTTAACCGATATAAATGTTTATTTTTTCCCAGGTACCTATAGAAATCTCCATTCCGCCAATGCTACTTCGTCCTCCAGCCCAGGATTGTCCACTGTACAGATTATAAGAACTGTCAGTCGCACCACAGCAAACCACGTGTTTCCTGCATTACGCACAAGTAGTCCCCAGTCTTTTCCTGTGAACAATTCCTGCATAGGAACTGCTGTGCGTTTGAACAGTCTGAATGTGGTTACTCCTGTCAATGTGCATCTGAGTGCAAGGACTTCAGCACCTTCGCCATCTGCCTTAAAGCTGGCCACAGCTGCTACCAACCTTGACAGGGTGCCAAAGGTGAACCCTAGTAGTGCCATCAGTAGCTTGGCTAGGTAGGTACTATAAGTGTTTCTCCAGAACCTGTTTTACTGGGTAATTTTTCCTGGCACACAGATCTCTTAAGTACTGTGGCTTGTAATTATGTGATTACAATCCTTGTTGTCAATATATTGTTAAGAGAATCTGTGTGACGGGAGGGGAATACATAGGTGCAACTATACAATGATGGTGAATATTTGATGGGACTCAACTTTTACGTCTCTGTAGGCAATTGTTTTAATGTTTTAATGGCTTCCGCTCTGATTCACCTCTTGAGGATCTACATTTTCCTGGTTTTGTTTTAAAATCTCATCTGAAAATCTATCTCTCTACCTGTGCTTTTGACCACCCTAACTGAGTCGATTTGAAAAAGTGTTTGGCAATTTTTTTTCTGAGATTATTTGAGATTTCGTTTAAGGTGCCATATTTATATCCTACCTATTTTTTTTAACTTTGCATAGCAGTGAGTATAATTGTGGTTACGAATAAAGGTTTCAGTTTCTATCAAGTGTTTATCCTTTTTTTTTGGAGTGCCAAACGTCATTTGATGGAACATTATTGCTAGAAGATACAAAATATGTCCATTGTAAACCTTTTTTCCCATTTCCATTAACTAATCTCTCAGTTTTGTAGAAGAAAGTGAAATAAAGCAAAGAAAAGGTGATACAATTTGCTTATTCTTTTTTTTCTTGCAGGGAGAGCAATGAACCAGAGAGGTTGTTGAATGGCATTGCAGAGAAGACAGTCGCTATGGAAGTGACATAGTTTTGTCTAATGAACCTTAATCGGGGAAATACCTTGATGGAAATCGTATATTCCAGAGAATACAGAATAAGGCACCCAACAGATTTCAAGTTGCTGCAGGGAAATCTCGTGATAATGCGGTCTGCTGGTTACAGCGTCTCAACCATCGTACGGCCAGGGAAAAATGATCAACTTACGTGTCGTCAGGTCCCCACTGAAGCTACTTCTTGTGCGTTGCACCCTATGCATAAACAACGCCGCTGACGTCACCTGCACCGGAAGTGACGGCCGCTCTTCCTGCGCGCGTGTGCAGGAAGTGCTGTCACGGGTGACCTGACAACCCAGAAGTCAGCCATTTTTTTTTAGCGCGGGAAGCTGGCTAGTCAGCGCCAGAAGCCAAGTGTGACACGCTTCCAATTACTGCAGGTCCACAGTACCAGCTGTAAGCGAGGCAGAGCTTTTATCGAAGCGTGCTTAACGGGGAGGTTCCCCCTGTACATGTGGACCTATAACGGTGTCGTATTCATAATGTAAAAAAAATGTCAATATATAAATGTAAATTTTGTAAAGTTGGGATGATCACTACCTTGTACAATAGTTTATTTGTATCATCATGTATTTCTGTTACTTGAATACTAGATATTCATCATGCTTTGCACTTGAAATTACAACAGAATGAAAATGACACAAATCTATGGGATCATGAGCATGAAATTGGGATCCTTTTGTCACTTGTTTTAACTATTTATTTTGCCATGTTTACATTTTGTAATTTGTACAAATCAACTTTGTGCTTAAAAAAAAATTTGAAGATATTTAGGTAGGCCATGTAAATCCTTGTCATTTTTGTACATTGTAAAGTTTTCACTCAGTTCTTTTTTTTTCCTCTCACAAAATTGAATAGATGGATGTTTGGTAAATACTAAGTGACAATTCTTTCAGACATTTAAGTCGAGACAAAAAAAAATAGTATTTTCTATTGTTTTGGAGGGTGAGGGTAGTGAAACAGAATTGAAGATAATCATCTTCCATGTTGCTCCTTTATCCTGTGGTTGCAAGACAAGTAACAGGTTAGAAAGATTGTCTGACTTTTATGTTTGATCTCCTTTAGTCTAGTGTTTTTATCAGTTTATACAGCTACTATTACATAGACCTTTTCAACAGTATTAGTATTGGAATGTTAGTGTCAGCACTACATCAGACAACTTCCTTGTTACTTGTTCTTGTTAAGTGGAAAAAAAAATGCAGGGAAATAAAACATACATATCAGAGTATCTATCTGCTTTGTCTGTGCTTTTATTTTGCATGTTAAGGGCAGTATTGCCAACTTGGAGCCAGTTGTATGTAATTGAANTTTTTTATAAAAAAATATATATAATTTCAAACAATTATTTGTCTTGTCTATTTTAATGATACTTAAGAATGATTACTAGTGTTATGCCATGAGTTAGCAGGAATTGCACCTGGATGAGGGATTCTATGGACTGCTTGTTAAAAGACTAATGTGTGATATTTGTGTTCAGGTCTGGGATGTCCCTTGATGCAAATAATTTAATTAAAGAAGTCCCATTTTAAAATAACAATAATCCCCGCATTTGATACAGTGCAATATCAAGTCTTTGAGGCGTCTCAAAGTGCTTCACAGAATATACTGTAAAGTGAATTAACTATTTTGTGGGCGAAATGCAGCAGCCAATTGCGCACAGCAGTGTCTCACAAAATTCGTGGATTGAGTGATCAAATTTTTTTTAAGGAATACCTGTATTACCTGATCCATAGATATTACTTGCTGCTAGATTCTGTTCCAGTAGGTTTAGATGCTCTGAGCCTTCAAATGGCTGGTGTCTTCCTGACTGCAATATTTACCTCCCTGTAAGATCTGCAAACGTCTGGAAGAAACTAAAAGAGGCTGTTATCTACTTTGGAGATAGTTGGGGACAAAAATTCAGAAGGGTGGGATCAGGTGCGTCTCTGGATGTCTTGGGTTAAAAGGAGTGCAAGTGATTCACCAATGAGATTATATAAGCTGCAGGAAAGAACGATTAGGTGGATTTCACTTGAAAGATACCTTAGGGAAGCTTTAAAGCTCTCAAATTACCCTGATTACTTCTATTAACCAGTCCTGTAGCTTAGTGGTTGGAGCACTCGCCTGGTGAGCGAGAGACCTGGGTTCGATTCCCGGCAAGGCGAAACATTGGGCAAGTTTCCTCACTCACCTCTGTTTACCTAGCAGTAAGTATGAACCTGGTGGTAGTCGATTGTCGGATTGCTTTTCCGGAGGTAATAATTCCTTCAAAAAAAAAAATAATTTGGTTACTCAATCCACGACTGTGGGACGCTGCTGTGCGCAATTGGCTGCTGTGTTTTTCCCACAAAATATACAGTCGATTCACTTTACAGTATGTTCTGTGAGGCGCTTTGAGACGTCTCGAAGATGTGATAAGGCGCTGCATCAAATGCAATGATTGTTATTGTATGGTGTGAGAGACCTACATTCAAAGAAATATACTCACTGCACTGTGGGTGAAATTTGCGATGTTCCTGTTGATCAAAAATTACCATTTATATTTTTTATACATATATATAGGTGATGAATAGTTAATGTTTTCAAGCATCAGTCTAAGCAGACGTAAGGTATTATCCCTGTCGATATATTCCCTTTTCAATTTAGTACAGCGGAGTTTTTTTTATGAAATGTTTAAATTTCTGGTTTTCATTTATTCTGGCTGCATTTAATTTTAATGAAGAATTAGCCTAAAGTCAAAAGTTGTAGTATTTAGGAATTAAATATTCATTTAACAGCTTTAAAAGTCCAAACCTTCATTCTAAAGTTCACAAACAACTCCGCTTTCAGATTTTAAAATAATACAACAGTATTCAAAGACTTTGTCCGAGCTCTATTGGAAATGCACCATGAAATTTATAATTTATAATTAAAAAATTATAATTATAACCTCTGCCTTGCCCCCTCTCTCCCCTCTTTCAAATCCCGCCTGAAAACCTTCCTCTTCGACCGTGCTGACAACCACCTCCACCAGCTCTGAGAGTCAGACTACGCTCTGAGACGTTACCCTGTGCGGAGGGCGCGATATAAATGCCGGTTGTTGCTGTTGAAATGCATCCTGATCCCTAAACACCAGCTTCTCAAGCATGTGGCTGAAGATTGTACTTAATTAAAATTACAGTATAATTTGAGGAGCTCCGTGAGACAATCTCCCAATGTGAAAGCCGATACTATAATCCTCGTATGTGCATTCGAAACGACAAATGCGAGGGTAAAAAAAAACTGATAGCGAAAAATTAGGGACATGCCATTTTCCAAATCTTGCCCTTCTCTGAAATAAAATTACAAATGAGAACACAAGTGATTTCGATAACTGGGGAAGTATGTTGAGCAAAACTTTTCAAACAAGTTACTACCTATACATTGCTCTGGCAATTACTCCTCTAAGAATAATAATAATAATAATCCTTGCATTTGATATAGCGCTTTTCACGTCGGGAGGACATCGCAAAGCGCTTCACAGAAGTGAATTGACTGTATATTTGTGGGCGAACGCGGCAGCCAATTGCGCACAGCAATGTCCCACAAACAGTCGTAGATTGAAAATGACCAATTTATTATTGTTTTGTTTTTGGAGGGATTATTATTAGGCTCTGTGTGGAGTAAGGAAACTTGCCCAAGGTTTCGCCCTCTGCCTGGAATTGAACTCAGGTCTCTCACTTGCAAAGCGAGTGCTCTAACCACTGAGCTACAGGACTCCGAATAATAATCATTAAATGGGATAGTTATCTGAATTTTAATGAACCAACCTGGTTTCTTCGCTCTTCTTCTAAAGGCCTTGTTTCAAGTTGGGAGTACTCCTTTCACAGAAGCACCTAGTCATCCACTGTCTTATCCTACGGGCACTCTTCACCTGTGAGCCTAAACAACGCCAAGAAAGTCAACTATTCAGCTAAATGGATGCTCAGACATGCTCTTTCTAAGTCAGGGTCTATGGATATTAATCATAGGCTCACTTTCTTCTCATTTCACCTGCTAAATCCAATTCTAATATCCTGCATTCCCAACAGGAAAGTCTTCATTGTTCAGTCACACAAAGTGATTGAATGTAAGAATGTAAGATAAGGAGCGGGGAGGCGAGATTGGTCTCCCAAGTTAAGACTGGCTTTAATATTTCCTACAGTTCTGTGCGATCTTAAATTTTCAAACAAAATGGCCTGAAAAGTTAGGTGACATTTAGGTGACGTTTTGTGCTTGTGACGTATACTCGTGTGATTCTACTTCGTAGTTCGTATTTAACTGAGTGAGTTTGCCACATTAAAAGCAATGTTTTGCTTGGCTCTGCCCCCCAGGAAGTGTTGAGACTGTTCGAACATCTTTCATTCAGAACTTCCTTCAGCCAACAGTGGAATCTCATCTCATCGCTTTCTGCCGGATTCAAGGTAAGCCCCAGGAAGCGAAAGGTCAATGAGCTGCCGTACTTTTCTGAGCAATTGCTGTATTTCTGCATGTTAATAACCTCGAGTGAAATGTTCTCAGGCAGTAATGCACCTCGGTGTTCAATTGATGTTGGCAAATCCCTTTGGATTGCTCTAGTGGTTTATATCATCCCGGCTCTAAATTGCTGCCTCAGAAAATATTACTGGTCGTGTGCTATACATCAAGAGGTTTTTTTTAAAAAAAAACTGCTGGGAGAAGTTGAGCGGATCAAGCTAAATGTTTGGTGCCATTTCTACCAAGGATGGAGGTTCTTTCAGTGGATCCTATTGATGAATTACATGCAGGGTTTTAATTATGGCTGTGATGAATAGCAGTGATTGAAAGGAAAATCATTAGCTTGATCTCTTTTGGGATGCAGGTAACTTAAATCCATAGAGGTAGAGCGGATAGTAGAATGATCTCAGCTATTCATTTTAATTAGACATGGCGACGATTATTTAAAAAAGAGTTAGCCTTAAATCTATAATTGGTGTTCCCCGTAATTGTTACAGCTGGAGTGATCTAGAGAGAGAAAGATTGACGCCAGTGTTGGTGTCCGTGCTGTCCTTACACATGCCAGTTGTATAACAATCCTTGCATTTAATACAGTGCCTTATCAGGTCTTCGAGATGTCTCAAAGCGCTTCACAGAATATGCTGTATTTTGTGAGCGAAATCCGGTAGCCAATTGAGTACAGCAGCGTCCCATAAACCATTGTGGATTTTTTTAAAAAAATTATTACCCCCGGAAAAGCGATCCGCCAATCGACTAACAACTGGGTTTCTAGTTACTGCTCGGCAAACAGAGGCACGTGGACTAAGGAAACTTGCCTAACGTTTCGCCCTGCCTGGGAATTGAACCCAGGTCCTCTTGTTTGCCAGGCGAGAGCTCTAACCAACATGCTACAGGACTCCATAACCTGGTGTATGGACAGACTGACGTTCGTGTTGATTTCAAAGTCTGCAAACCGTTAGAGATGGAAATTCTCAATGATGTATGTTTTCTCCCCAAAGGGATTACCTGTAATCTACCTGGTAAATTAATTTTCCCTCTGCGCCTAAACTCACAGTCAGGATCTATGGATTATGGTAATCTGGGACCAAGCAGTAGAACGTTCATCCCCCACTTGGTTTCTTTTTTTTTCTAGCTGTCCAAAAAAAAAAGCAGGCAAGGTGATCAACATCACTTTAACTCCCAGCGAAATGTTTATATGTAACATTGTTCTGCGTATATTAAGTGGTGTCCTCAGTGGGGCTGCACTCCATTTATGTGAAATCTCAGGCATTCGAGTGGATTTATTAAGTGGTTTTGGCCTCGGCACTATTTACGGCTTGCTTCTGGTGTTAGAACAGTGATGTCCACAAAATCAAAATCATAAATCACAAAGCAGCTGATAAATCTGTACAAGAAAATTCTACCATTTGCCCTGTAGCTCAGTGGTTAGAGCACTCGCAAGAGAGGGACCTGGGTTTGATTCCAGGGCAAAGTGCAAGTTTCCTTACTCCAGGCTCCTCTGTTTACGTGGCAGTAGGTAGGAACCCGGTTGTTATTCGATTGTCGGACCGCTTTTCCGGGAGTAATCCTTCCAAAAAAAAAAAATTGGTCACTCAATCCACTGTTTGTTTGTTTGTGGGACACAGTTACGTGCAACTGCCTGTTGCGCTTTCCACGCAAAACACACAGTCAATTCACTTTTTAGTATATTCTGTGAAGCGCTTTGAGACGTCTCGAAGACGTGATAAGGCGTTATACCAAATGCAAGGAATATTATTATTACTATGCAATCCTCTGTTTTCTCCTGGCGTTTAGACTCCACAACCTCTTAATTGGCCATTAATTATTACTTTATTTTGCATAAATATTTTCCAGCGCCTTGGGACGTTCTCCCGACATGAAAGGCGCTAT